GAAATGTGAGTGTAACTTATTCAAACTTTTTTGCAGTACGAGGAAATTGCTAAAAACGTCAGTACAATTGATATAAATTTAACTAAATACGACACAAATCCATTAAACATAATTTACACCCGAATTCCGCGATACATGTTTTATAAATGAGGTTGGGTAAAACTGGATAAATTTTTATACAATACAATAAAGATACGATACGAGATGTTCCATGAACAACACTATATGTCTCTCAAATGCCTAAGTCATGTTGATTCAGACTTGATTATGGTATCAAAAAATAAAATTTTGACACTATACTGAAATTTATTATATTTGTAGATATTTTTATCATTGTTGTGAGTGTTTTTATCACTATTGTAGTACCTAAAAAAGTGATAAAAATAATTATCATAACAATAGTAAAATCACTCATAACAGTAGTAAAAAGATCCACAAAAATGATAAATTTTTTTTGCATCGAATAAAAGTGATAAAAATAGTAGTTACAACAGTAATAAAAATACTTATAAAAGTGATAAATCAACCATTAAAGTTATAAAAATATTTTTTAATAAAATAAATTTTAGAGGTATGATATCGAAATTTTTTTGATGGTAACGTAATCAAAGTCCGGGTGATTTTCACACGGTTGGGAGTTTCAGATGGAATAATTTTTGAGTAATAATATGTATCATAAATTTGTAACCCAAATTTACATCTCAAATTAAGGAGAATCATTGAATCAGTGAGTCTTATTTAAAAAAATTAATGAGACTTACTGATCTAATAATTCTCCTTAATTTAAAATATAAATTTAAATTACAAATTTATGATACATACCGCTACTCATAATTTTTCTCCAAATACAGTGGGTTTTCAAACTCCGAGAAGCACCCAAAGTCTTAGTCAGCAGAATGGCATACACTACTGCAGTCACCTCTGTGAAGGTCCAAAGGTGTCTGTTTTTCTTTNTTGATATCAAATTGACATAAAATTATAAGGTTTAAATTTAGTTTTAGTCGGTTTTGACGGGCTCAACTCAAATCAAGTTTAGAATTATAAATCATGCCCAACTCACAAATACAAGCAACAAGGACTAAGACCATAANCTACCTTTTTTTTAAGTAATCTGGGTGTCTGTTTTTCTTTATTGTTATTAATACCCCAGATTACCTTTTTTTTAAGTAATCTGGGCCTATTAATAGCAATAAAGAAAAACAGACACCTTTTGACTTTCAGCACTGAGGGATCAGCTGTCAATGATCTGTTAAGATTCTCACAGGTCCATCAAAATTGAAACCCTACTAGATTCTCTTGTCGTTTGTAACGTTAACGGATTTTANTGTTCGTTACGCCGACATCACAGAGTCACCCATTCTAATCACACGGGTGACACCTTAACCAAGGCTTCCTATGATGGTGCCTCCATCAAAGTTCGTTTTGGGGCGCTATGAAAGTTGTACTTCTTTATAAATTGTAAACTTCACATGTAAATGGGGGTATCACACACATTTCAGCACATTATACCTCTCAAGTAATAAGATTCTTTGGCCACCGTAACCATTCCTAATGAAGTAGGTTACCTAGACCGAACCACCTAATTTATGTATTTACTTGTGTTGAGCCCTGTACACTTCCCTCTTAATTGATTTTTGCATAAACAATTTTATGCATCATCAAGTTTGANATTTTAATTTTTTAAAAAATAAAAAATAAAATTAAAAAACGAAAAACATCTTTTTCTCGTTTTTGAAAATTGTCTCTCGTTTACAAAAATGATGACAGAAAAAAAAAACGGTTATCAAACGAGTTTTTTTTTCTTATTTTTTCTAAATTTCAAAATAAAAACGAAAAACGAAAAATGAAAAACATAAACGTTATTAAACGGAACTTAAATGACAGTTTTCTTGTGAATGCTGTGTAAATAATTGAGGTTGTGTTTGATAATGTTTTTACTTTTTAATGTAAAAAAAATAAAATTAGAATTAATTTTTATTTTTTTATTAAAAAAGTTAAAATAAAAAATTTGTNCATTTGACACCAACCAGGCTAAACACGACTAATATATGATTCAAATCTAACATAACACGAACTCAATTATATACGATTACAGATTAGATGAATATGTGTTAGACAAATTTTAATACGATATGACTTAGATACAACAANAAAATTTTAAAAACTAAATCAAAAAATATTTTTGAAAATTACTTTAATTTCTCTCATATATTATTGTTTTATATTAATTTTTTGCTAGAATTAATTTTATGACCAAAAAAGAGAAGTAGTTGCAATATTCAGCTACAAACATGACTCAAAGTATGAACGATACACTGAATCAAGATTACTTTAAATTTATTTATAATCACTAAATCATATTATAAGTGAAAAGTGGATTTGAAAATATTATATTTATTTTTATAATGGCAGGTACAATTTAGTTTTTATATTTATAATTCAAATTCATTTACATGGTATAGTATATATTCGGATAGTTCTATCCAAATAAAAATTTAACATTAACGCTAACATTCAACTGGGGTTATTGAATAAAAATTTTGGCTGTGCTATAATTTTTATTAAATTTGGGCCCCGTTACAATGAAATTCTAAATCCATCCCTGTACACACACACACATATATATATCAATGTCGGATCTAAGCTAGAGAGGTAAAGGTAGAGATTGAGCAAAGATGGAGAGTAGATCTAACATGGGGAGATCGTTTTCTAATGGAGAGCAGATCTGAAGATGGTTGTTGTTTTGCAACGGAGACACAGATGTGTGTGTGTGTGAGAGAGAGAGAGATGGACGATAAAAATGTGGGGTTTAAATACTTCCACCAAAAAATAGGATTTTTGTTGTTAATGGAGTTTGATGGGTAGACCTCGTTAAAGTCCCCTCCTGCCGCACGTGTTTGTGTTTGTACCNAGTTTGATGGGTAGACCTCGTTAAAGTCCCCTCCTGCCGCACGTGTTTGTGTTTGTACCCATCTTTGAAAACATCAATTTATGTGTGGAAATTTTGGACTTGTTTTCAAAACTAGATGGAAAAAAAAACAAAAACAAAAACAAATATCAAACACTTTTTTTTTTGTTTTTTTGTTAAAAACAAAAAACAAAAAAAAAAGACGTTATCAAATAGAGCCAAAGTTCTTGTGTTTTAATTTATGATACAACATAAAGATGATATAACTTAATCTAGTGACGTTACAATAAAATGGGACGAGACCATTTAAGATTAATTCTCAAATATTATAATCGATAACTTTTTTTTTTGGTTAATTTGTAGTAAATTTCTATACACAGTACCAAACTCAATTCCATAGTGAAGCCATTAGCTAATATGTTAATACATACCATTTGGTATTTAGACTCGTGTAAATAATGAAGATGAAGTAGGGGAAAGAATTAGGGTCTTAGCATGAGAGAGATTCAATGGCCCCAAGCCCATGGTGCACCAAGCAATATTTTCAACACAACCATTTCCTTTGTCAAAGAAGGTAAAATAAAGGTAAAGGTAGCTGGTTCCCCACAACACAAGAATTTTTGTCTTCACCCCAAGCCCCCCTTCAAACCAGAATCTCTCTCTCTCTCTCTCTCTCTCTCTCTCTCTCTCTCACACACACACACACACACACACATATACATATACATATTCAAATGGGCCACCCTTAGAAATTCTGATCCCTGAACAGAACCAAGGTGGGCAGTAAAAGGAAGATATATAATCCATGAGAGTCACCTCAAAAGAAACGCTGATGGGAAGAGTATCAGGTATTGTCTCTGTGTTCCACACCCCATTCCTTTTCCTTCCTTTTTACCCTGTAACACATCTCTCTGTTGTTCCTTTCAATGGCTCCACCACTTCTTTCCTCTTGACCAAACTTATTTTTTCTCTCTCATCAAACCTCGTCTACCCAATATTTTTCTATTGCTCATACTTGCCTTCAAAANTGGCTCCACCACTTCTTTCCTCTTGACCAAACTTATTTTTTCTCTCTCATCAAACCTCGTCTACCCAATATTTTTCTATTGCTCATACTTGCCTTCAAAAATTTTTGAGGGCAAATTTTTGAAAACTAATGTGAGAAGATTTTGAGCATCCCACACCTAAGGTATTAATCGGATCTTGAATCCGAGTTTTTCATAATCGTTCTTTTAAACGAGCATATAAAATTATTTTAGCTCCATTTGTTTAGAATTTGAGTCGAATCCGAATAATTCGAATTATTTAAATATAAATAAATTAAATTTTACGAATTTGAGTCAAACCTTTTAAATTCATTTTTCTAAATAAATTCAAAAATTAATTTAAATTCAATTCATTTAGAACACCAGTCGAACTCGAACCGAGTCTTATTCAAGTCGAACACGAATAGCTCGTCTTAATTAACACCCCCAAACCTACCCCGTGCCATAACTCATTGAACATTTCTTCAAAGGGTGGAAATATTTGACAGAATCGTTAAAAAATACACGGTATACTAACATGAATAATAAATATGCCAGCTCGGTATTAAAATCCGAACTGTGCAAATGTCTGGGACTGATGAGTAGGTACATGCATAACATCAGGGCATTGAATTCAGTGGTTCATCAATTGGGTCGTCATAAGTTCAACCCAACAATGCAATTGATTCATGAGAGGTACCAAACATTTGTACATCATGTGCATGACTCAGACACTAAATTACACTGAACCGAAGGAATTGTATCGAAATACGTGTAAAACATTTACCGAAACCAAAAAAAGAAGAAGGGATTGTGTGAACCAGACGTTTCTTGGTCCACAGTCAACCTCTTGGAACAAGCATATGTATATTTTCGCAATATTGTGAAGATTTCTCATTGCAATAAGATCCTCTTCGTTACCTTTCCTCAGTCATCTTTTCCTTCTCTGTCTCTCTTGTTCTTCTTCTCACCTGTTCTCATCAATAAATACCTACTACAACTTCTCCAACTGCCCTCTTCTTCCACCTTCAGAAACTCTGTTTCTTTTTCCCCACCACCATTAGTGTATGATGTCAAGAAATTTAAGCAGGAGAGTGACTCTGAGTCAGAGTCCTGATATCAATGATGATAAGCCAACAATCTTTCATACACATGGTGGTGGAAACAAGAAGAGGGTGGTCGGAATTTGGAGTTTTAGACTACCCAAAAGCTCAGGATTCTCAGCGGTGAGATTTCTTAAGAGCGTTGGGGCAGAAGTGGCGAGAGCCTTGCGTACTTTATCCTCTAGAAGAAGGTCTTCACGTCGAGTTTCTTCCTCTAGTTTGGCAAGGTCACGATCATATGCAGAACCACTTGATTCTCATCGAGCTGAAGCTATGGTGGATTGCATCGAGTTCTTAAATTCTTCTTCCACCTTGCAGAGATCAAACTCGGTTTCCACAAGTTCTTGCTAGAGATTCATGGACAGTGGCAGAAGATATAAAAATGAAAGGAGCAGAAGCATTTGGGACAACTTGGTTCTCATCCAGAGAAAGCTAAAGAGAATTGCATCTAGTTCTTAAAAGTATTCTTCCTCTTTGCAGAGATCAAATATGGTTGTCTATACAGAGGGTTAAGAGAAAAGTGAAACAAATAGATTTATGGTGAGTCGTAAATATTTTCATTCTCTCCAAACCCGTAATAACACGAGACTCGTACACTGTGTTGTATTTTTTAAGTAATAAACTGCTTTCTTTGTTGATTTAGGAAACTAAATACATAGCAAAAATTCCATACTCCTCTTAGATTGTAGCAGTGAACACTTCAATTAGGGATCATGCTCATATAGTTGAATCCAAGCCAATTGATGTGCTTCACCTCCCTGTATGAACAGGAGATTTCTAGGTTCTTTTCATATGTTTTATCATATGAAACATGATGTTGTAATACTATCATATGTATCTATGTTTCGACAAGGGTGCATACTTAACCTTTTTCGGGCAGGTCTCACAGTGACGAGAGCCTCTTATTACCTTGGGATTGCAAACCTTTGCATAGCACACAACGTAATTCAAGTTAATGAAGATTTAGAGCTTCGTAATTCTTACTAAATTACGTGTTAACATCTAGTATAAAGCACGGGGAATGATAATCTATCCCCCTATTATGTCTTGCATGTCTGTGACATTTAAGAAGTGTGAATGCAAGTATAGTTGTTGTATCCGATATGACATATAGAACACGGTTGACAAGAATAGAACTAATTAAAATAATAATATATGTTTTAACAATTATAATATATATTAAAAATAAAGCATATTTTATTGCTATATAAATAATAAGACCTAACAAATATTAACTTTTTAATAAAATTAAAATAGATCAAAATAAACGCCGCTTTCATAAAATTTCACCGACATTTATAAGTTACATAACCAAAAACACAAAAACCAAAGGAAAAAATCATACACTCCTCCAAATAGGTTAATAGTTGTTCATGACTAAAAAAAAACACTTCTACCCCCATATTCAACTGAATTCACTATTCAAGATACTGTTAACCGTATCAAATCAAACACTTCCGACACTACTACAACACCGATATGAGAACTATCCGTGCTCCCGAAAAGTGTAGAGAAGAAGGTAAATTGTTCTTGTATAAGTAAAACACAGACATCAGCAATAGGATATTGGAGGTAGTTTTTAAAAGAATATGAAACTACTGACGAAGATGTAGTACTTGCGCAAAATCACTTTTCATTGACTATCTGAAAGAGACCCGGGACAGACACAGCTTTGCAGGCGTCTATGAACATCATTGCCCCACTCATCATGTACCTATAGCTAAAAATTGGTTGAAAAGGTTTATCACCCACAATTAATCTAGTATTCTATCTTAGTGGCCACCACTTTTAACCCAAAGAAATGAACAACGTACACAGTTATCATTGTCCAACCACTAGTTCTTCCATAGTTTATAACATAAAACCAGCCATTCCATGTTAATTCGATTTTGGGAATGGCCGTTGACAAGAAATTAGTACAAATCGTATAATCAAGAATCAAGCGAGAGCTTCTCAAGATCTCGAATTCCCTGACTGGAAGCTTTCTTCATTTCAAGAGCTCTCTTATAAGGGGGAGCGATGGGGGGCTGTACAGGATCCAAGCTCTGATAAGTTCCATCGGCAGTTCTAGGAAGTGGATATGAACGATCCGAGTCATAGCCACTGAGGTCCCCACAAGCCAGAAATGGGATATAAACCTTGTTGACCCCTTCCAACCATCCACTACTGCAATCTGTAATCAAACATATTCTTAACAAGTGATAAAGAAAAAAATGTAATGATATAATAAGAAATTTGAAATCATAAATTTCACAAAAATTCTAAAACATAGAACCAGCATTCTGATATTTCCTCTCAAGTCAATAGGATCACATCGGAGACACCAACTATTTTCTTCAAACTCCCACTAGATGCAAACTTTAAATAGGTGAGTAGCAAAGATTTTAGACCCTCACTTTCCCTCAAATGGAGCCTTTCTATTTTCTATTTGATATTCTTGTTTCATTCATATTCCCTCGACCCCTCTAGCAAAGCTCCAAAAAGAAAGAGGGACACACATTGATGATAAGGTTCTTCAACTAAAGCATTTTCCAATTCATAAAGCTTCAGATTAATTATTCTAATTTCTCTTTCCTGAAATGGGAAGAAAGATGTATAGTTCTACATTAAAAACCATTTCTTGCTTTAGCTCTAGGAGGTTAAAGATGGATTCATTAACTGGATACAGCACAAGGATGCCTCGGAAGATCAATATCCACAAGCATAAAAAATATAACATAAATCTTAAGAGCAATACATACCTAGATCTTCTGCACCAGATGGACTTCCAACTTTTTCAAGGAGGCGATGCAAATCTTTCTCATTGAATCCTTCAGGAGGTGAATAGTTCTCACAAACTGCAAATGCCTCTACTCACAAAAATGCAATAATTAGCTGCAGATGAGGCAATAGTATTTTTATAAAGTTGCACATGTATCCGCATTACAAACGATACAATTATTAATCAATTTCATGTATCAACCGAATCCATAATTTTACTTCATTATTCGAATTGAACTAACTCAACCCTGATGATTTAGTTCAGAATTTCAAGTGGTAATTAGTTATTTTTGTTTCAGAGTTAAACTTATCCTAGATGTGTCATTCAAAACAAATTGAGCAGAAAACAGAAGCACAAGAACATTGGACTCTCACCTATGCTTGAATTGCGACTGCTTTTTGGTTTGGCAAAAGTCACTTCCGTGAAAAATAGTTTTAGCTGCAATAAGAAGGCAAGACATCATTGATTCCACACCCCAATAGTTCCCTAACACAGTTCATGCTATACTTTATTAGGTAATCAAAAAGAAACCTGTAAAACATCAGTCACCAACTTATTCAATCAAATGAACCGTAATACGATGAGAGGGGGAAAATATCAAAGGAACTGTAACTAATCCAGACAACACTCTGACCTAGTTTCACTGATCCTATTAAGATCTCATATACAAAAGTATGGCACTAGGACACTAATGCAAGCAACACTTCAGCCCCAAAAGCAATCAATGGTGCTTCCACGCAGGCGTCCATTCAAAACCTAATCAATCATCTACTGTTGTCGTGCTAAAACAGCACATTGGGGTAGGTAGATTAGATACGGAACTCAAGTTTGGCCTATTTGCATACAGTGGCTGCTGCA